AGGTCCCAGTCCCTCGCAGTCACCTCCGAGGGACGGGGATGCACCTGACCTCTGGCTGCTGCCACGCTGCGTGTTTTGCACGAGGGCTGACTGCAGGCAGGCAGACAGAATCTGTGCGCACAGGCACCTCTTCAGACCCCAGCGCTGCCCTTTCGCCGTCCATCGCTTCCCCTCCACACCGGGCGTTCGCCGCCCGCCCCTACCTCCAGGCCAGAGGCGCAGACGTAGGCGCTAGCACGGAGGAGGAAGGAAAAAGCTCCTCGTCTCAGCCAAACGGTCCCGGCGAGTTCAGGAGAGCAGAGACGCTGCCAGTGTGTAAAGGAAACGGCCGGCAGCCCCCTCCCTGCAGACGCAGAGCGCGGCGGCCGCGCAGGCAGTTGGTGCCATAGTTATGCAGTGAGTCACCAGCTGTTTACAGAGTTTGAGAGCTCACATTCCCACAGCATCAGAAACTCTTCCTTCCCTCGGCATCCCCCCTCCCTCGCCGCCCCCATCCCTACAAGGAAAGGGGCACGCTGCCGTCCCGCTGGCACACTCCGCGCTGCTAAAACCGGAAAAGGAAAGTCAAAAAGGAGGGGGAGGCCGACAACAGACCCGTCACACCCACCGATTACACAAAAAGCCTTTTGATCCTCACCCAGCTCGTCTTCAAAGCGCTTTCCACGCCAGCCGATGGAAAAACTGAACAGGGCCGCTTGGCTGCGTGGAGATGGAAAGAAACGTAAAATATCGTGGAAAACAAGAGGCGAGGGGTGAGGTTGCCTCTGGTGGGGGTCAATGCGTGGGCTCGCCTGCCACCCCGAGCAATGCTCCGGCTCCACATGACGAAACCCCTTCTGGTCACCTGTTGCTCCGTGTCGCCAAAGCAACATCTCCTTACCCTGCACATTCCTCGGCAGACGGCGCAGACGCCCTCGTGCTCGGTACGGGGTCTTGTGCCGCACGCTTGTCTCCCCCTGCACGCAGAAGCACCCTGGGTGGACCGGCACCCCTCTGAGATGGGCTGGGATCTGTCCTGTTGCACCAGGGTGATGCACCAGAGCTGCTGCTCGCACCAAGGTGAGCAAGGAGGCTGAGGGCATCGTCAGGAATCGCAATGCTGGGCCCTCTTCAAACCAGGGTGGGAGACGGGGGTCTGCCCCAACCCTAAGGGCAGGATTTGGTAGGGCAAGTAGAAATACTCAAACTGGTTCAAGTCTCGCACTCAGACACAAGTGCCAGGGCGCGTCTTATCTCCGCACTGGGTGAACCCGCAGGTGTGGTCCAGGCTCTGCTTGAAACCCATACAACACCACTCGCAACCCTGACCAACAGTCCTCCAGGGCCTCGGGCTCCATCTCCATCTCCCCACCTACAAAAGCCTTCCCATCAGGACTATTTGGGACTATTCAGCTACCAACAACAAGCAAATACAATCGGCAAGGCATCTCCCACAGTTAGAAGGCAAAACCCCATGATAAAATCGTAAACCATCCTGCAAACGTGTCATATCCAGCAGCATCCCCTAAACATGCCGCACAGGGGTCTTCTGGGACCCTGCCTGCGATTTGATTACTAGAACCCTTTTAGTCTTTACCCTATTCCTGCCCTTCTTTTCTTAATTGCATTTGCTGCATCATGTCTAAAATTAGGAGCTCAGCTTTTTGGAACAAGGACCGCATTACATCTCTATTCTGTAAGCTGTACGACACAACTTCGAACGCTACATAAATAAAGACGCGAGTAGTGATACACCAAGTGTAAGGGGCAAAGGCTTTTCCCGTGCAGCTCCACACTTGTATTTAAAGTGAGCGTTTTGACTGTGGGTTACATAAAGAGCCCTTGTAATCCTGCAATAAAGTTACCCATTGACAGCCCTGCCAATGCCCTCTCCCTCTCTCAGACAACTCCTATGCCCCTTGCAACACCCTCCCAAAAACCTGGAGGTCTCCAGGTGATGTCCCAAGCCTGACCACCTCAGCTTGGACCATCTAGAGATCCCCAGCTCCTCTGCTCTGGAAGGGGAAGACAGCAGAAAGCCTGGCTCGTGCGGAGGTAGGACAGAGCTTTCCACACAAGGCTTGCAATTAAGAAGGAAAACATGCCAGAATGAGATTTCAGACTTTCCACGCTACAGGGCTTTCAAAGCGCGTTACGCATTAAGGAATTACTATAAAGTCATTGCTGACACCCGACAACTGCGGATGAACTTGAATTTTAAAACTCTTTCTACACTGAAAGACAAACCCTGGCCAGAACACGAATGCCTGGCAGACAGCCCCGCGGGTGTTTAGCTTCCATCCTCAGACACATACAGCAAACTGAAAACATGCAACCCTCACCTTCAGCCAGGCCAGCGATGACTTCCAGAGGGCAGAAAAACAGCGTAAGGTTCAAGCAGCGATGGCGATCTCTGCCACTGCGTCTCAATTCAGCACCGACAGTTACGCAGGGTTACTCTACTCATTCCCAAACGCAGCAATTTAATTCCCAGGCGGCCTTTTCAGTAAAGTTACCCAAATTTCACGTTTATCCACAAGCTATTCCCAGCTCCAGAGCGCTGGCCAAATGGATGTGCCTACCAAGGATAACATCAGAGCTGACAGGTGAATGGAACTACAGATGCTTAAATCTTCGTCGCCGTGCCTCTGCCGCTCGGAGGCACGACACGGATTTCCAGCACATTGCAGCATGGCAGGCAGAGCACCATCCCTCTCCCCATCATTCAAAAAGCCATTCTCCTGCTCTGACAATCTTCACACATCCTGTAAGGCAGACTGACGCTTGTCACTCATTTGTAACGAGAGCGGGGAGGGACGGGCTGATGGTGTGAATCAGAGAGTAGAAGCATATGCGAGGCAATATATTTGACGTGAAGAGAGAGAAGACACAAGGAGGGGGTGAGTCACTGTTTACTGTTCTAGAGGAGCTCCATGCAGCCCTCGCCCAGCTGGCCAGCTTTCCATTTCCCGTATGGATCGGAACCAGCATCCAGCAGCAAAGAGGAGATTCAGGAACCTTCAGAGCACATTTGAGAGCTGCCAGGACACGGCTCTCTGAGGCGCTCTCTGGGGAAGCCTGGACACGGATCAGACAGTCTTCAGTGGTTTGGTAAACAACCTAGTCA